TATGTATGGTATCAGATGGGTACTAAATTTAATTGGGTGATCACTTGGTAAGTTACATAAATGTCCAATCAATATGTTGTACTCCTGAAACTAATATACTATTGCATCTCAAGTGAAATTGGGGCGGGGAAAAGACGTCCAAGTTCCTGTACAGTCCAGTTGAGGCATGTACTGTCCATTCAGAGGTAAAAAATAACACATTCACCTACTGTATATTAAGGCCTGACAAGAGGGAGGATCAGAATACTGGTTTCTCAGTTCTCTGCCTTTTTGCCCGCGGTATTTAATAAAGATCGGCCAATTTCTTCAAGTCAATCAACTGTGAAGATTAGTACATCTGCGCTAATAGGCAGAGGATCAAACATCCTGCACCAGGCAGGACGGCAAGGGAGGTCGTAAGATGGCATTAAACTAAGGTGACCAGACGTCCCCATTTTAAAAAAAAATGTATTTTATTGATTACGGGAAGAGAGAGGATAGAGAGTTAGAAACATCGAGGAGAGAGAATCATCGATCCCCTACTGGGGATGTGCCAGCAACTAAGGTACATGCCCTTGACGGAAATCGAACCTGGGACCTTTCAGTCCTCAGGCTAACGCTCTATCCACTGAGCCAAACCGGTTTCGGCAAGATGTCTCGATTTTTAACAATTTGTCCCACAAACGCCTCGGGACGCGGGACAAATTGTTAAAAATCGGGACGTCTGGTCACCTTACATTAAGTCCACAGGCTGTGGTCAGAAACCAGGGTCAGAAACCAGGACCTGAGAGTCACCTGGTTTCCCGCCGCCAGGAAACAGTCCTGCCCTGAGCCAGCCGCGCAGGCGCACTAGTGCGGACAGAGAGGACCCGCCCAAGTCCCCGAGTGAGCACGCGCAGTGGCGCGGGGCGTGGCAGCGCTGCACGGTCTGGCGGTGAGGGAGTCGTGGCCGGGTTCTCATCTGATGCCTCAACCTTCTGGCCTGAAGCGAAGCTGCCTTGCCCGGGGAGAGAGTGGTCACGGTGTCGCGTGGTAACAAAGCTTAGGACAAGGAGAAACGAAATGAGAAAGGACGTACTCCGGTGTAAGTGCTGACTGGTGGCTGTTTGGGAAGGAAGGGGCGGGGGGCGTCGGGAGCGGGAAAAACCTTCGCAAAGGGGAGGGGCGGAGCTAACGTGTGATTGATAGGCGAGAAACTATGCGAGGGCGAATGGGAGGTGAGTGAGGGCGGGATCTGCAGTTGAACTGGAGCAGTGCTTTGGAGTAATATTAACTAACACGCACCTGGGACTTCAATAACCAATCTATGCTAACCACTTTTTATAAATTACCTTATTTAGTGGGACCTTATAGATATGCAGTTTTATCTCTTCTTTACACGTGGGGAAACTGCGGGTTAGGGGTATTAACGTAGGCAAGAATACAGCGGGGGTCCCAAATTTAGAAACCTGACCTCAGAGCCCATACTGTTAATGGCTCTGCCCTACTGCCTGCCCTTCAGAAAAACCAAGGTGGAGTGGGATCCAGTCAAGAGGATTCGGTTGGATGGAATTGGCCAGATTGTTGGAGGATGTGCAATGGAAAGTGGGAAAAAATGCTGTAGCAGGTTTTTCCTACACCATGTGAAAGCTCTGAGGATGGAGCTGGGAGGCCGGGCCATGCCCCCAGCTGTGGGAGCATTGCAGCCCCTCTGAGTGCTGTGACTGGATTAACAGTAGGATTAACATTTTCTTCTGGGGCTGTGTTGTCTCCCAGGTGTGTGAAGTTAAAGCATTTTAGGGATTTAAAGTGGAGATAGTGCGTTTAAATTGTTCTTGTCTTCTCTGGCTGTCATAACAAAATGCCATACACTGGGTGGCTTAAACAACAGTGTTTTGTTTTTGTTTTTGTTTTTGTCTTTTGTCCTATTTTAATTCTCACCCGGGGATATTTTCCCCATTGATTTCTAGGGAGAGTGGAAAGGAGGTAGGAGAGGGGAAAGAGAGAGAAACGTCGTGAGAGAGACACTTAACGTAGATTGGTTGCCTCCCGCCCCTACCGGGGCCGGGGAACTTGCAACTGAGGTAACTTTGACCAGGACCCTTGGGTCTGCAAGCTGATGCTCTAACCATTTAGAAAACTGGCCAGGGCCAGAGTTCTTTTTCTTTCTTTCTTTCTTTCTTTCTTTCTTTCTTTCTTTCTTTCTTTCTTTCTTTCTTTCTTTCTTTCTTCCTTCCTTCCTTCCTTCCTTCCTTCCTTCCTTCCTTCCTTCCTTCCTTCCTTCCTTCCTTCCTTCCTTCCTCCCTCCCTCCCTCCCTCCCTCCCTCCCTCCCTCCCTCCCTCCCTCCCTCCCTCCCTCTCTCTCTCTCTCCTCTCTCTCCTCTCTCTCCTCTCTCTCCTCTCTCTCCTCTCTCTTTTCTTTCTTTTTTCTTACAGTTCTAGAAGCTGGGAAATCCAAGATCAAGGTTCCCTGTTCAGGACTGTTTTTCTCTCTTGCAGAATGTCAGTCCCCTTACTTGCCCTCACATGGCTTGTGAAGAGAGAGGTGTATTACTCTTAGAAGACCACCAATCATTATAAGGATTAGACCCGCTGTTATGCCTTAATTTAATCTTAATTACCCTTTTCATTTTATGCTAATACCTCCTAAAAGCCCTCCCTCCAAATAAAATAGACTCATATTGGGGGTTAGGGATTTAACACATGAATTTAAGGAAGGGTGGAACACAGTTCAGTGTGTAGCAATATTTTATACCAAAGTAAATAACAAGTGTTAATTGAAAACTGAAGAAAATGAACACTTTCAAACCTTATATGTACCTGAGATTCTTTTACATAACCTCTTATTACCTCATTTAGTGAAGATAAAGTTTGTGCCTTACCACTGGTGGGGAGTTCTAGGGAGAACTTGTGTGGGAGGTCATGGTTGTCATTCAGGCAGCCAATCTGAAGAGGTCAGAAAAAGCTACACTAAGCATTTTTAAAGCGAGATTAGTGTATCAACTATTTGTGGATTTATCTAAATCCTTTAAAGAATCTAAATTCTTTAACTTCTGACTTAGCTTGTGCTGTTTCTGGAATAATGAGATCCATAATTACCATCTATGGGGAGTGAAATAATAATTACTTTTTTTTCTTTTTAATCCTCACCCGAGGATACTTTGAAAGAGAGGGAAATACAGAGGAATATCGATGTCAGAGAAACACATCAATTGGTTGCCTCCTGCACATGCCCCAACCAGGACCTAGGCGGGGAAGGAGCCTGCAACCGAGGCATGTCCTTGACCAGAATTGAACCTGGGACCCTTCTATCCACAGGCCAACACTCTACCACTGAGCCAAACCGGCTAGGGCAGTAATTACTTTTTTTTCTGTATTGTTTCCTGTTGTTATTCTAAAGTTTGGTAACCAAGTCTGTTTTCACCTTACCCTGGTGAGGGAAGAGTGAGGAAATACAAAACTTAGCTGCTTGAAGGTCTGGCAGATGTGCATTCAAATCTTGGATTCAGGCCATTGCTATGTGACTATGGCAAGTCACTTAACCTTTCTTTAAAAAAAAAAAAAAAAAAAAAAAAAAAATATATATATATATATATATTTTATTGATTTCAGAGAGGTAAGGAAAGGGAGAGAGAATCATTGATTGGCTATCTCCTACATGTCTCCTACTGGGAATGGAGCTTGCAACTCAGACATGTGCTCTGACCGGGAATTGAACCATGACCTCCTAGTTCATAGGTCAGTACTCAACCACTGAGCCACACCAGCTGGGCAAGTCATTTAATCTTCCTGAGTGTCAGTTTTTTCATCTATAAAATAGAGTTAGTACTACTGACCACATGGTTGTTGTGAGGTTATATGAAAACAGTTTGAAGCTATTAAAGAACTGGCCTTAGACAAGATATTTAAGTTATGGGACATCCTCCACTCACACCTCTGAAGAACACAAACCTCCACCTACAGCCCCCATGTCTAACTGGCTATTTTTTTATTCATCAAACTTTTATTGAATGCCTGCTAGTTGTCAAAGCACCTGGCACTCTGAGTGCTAAGGGCAGGGAAGAACAAGACAGACAAAGTTCTTTCTTTTATGCAGTTTATATTGTGATGGGGAGGACTAAATAAATTGAGTTGAGTGCTAAGAGCTATGAAGAAATTAAGTGCAGGGTAATGACATCAAAGAGTGACTTAAAGTAGTGCCGCCTGCGTGTGTGCATGCACATGTATTTGGAAGGAGGGTATTTGACCAAATAAAGGGAGAGACTTCTCTAGGAGCCGAGCTGTGGTTGAGGACTCACCATTCCCTCTGGGAGGGACAGAAAATGCAAAGCTCATCAGATCAGGCTGGATGCTGTAGATGTCTGTAGGCTGCCCAGTGATCTGTTTTAAAAGGGCAGGAGCCAGACAGAAGGCTCTGATTCTTGAGGCCAAAACATTTTTTGGAGGCAGCTCTGTTTTGTGCTGGAAATGGAAGGTAGGATGAACTAAGAAGCAAACTAAAGATGTCTATAAAATAAGGATATGTACATTAACCGGTGCCATGCAAGAAAAACTGTAATTGTATTTGTAATTCTCTGCCTGTGTGTCATGTTTTTTCTTACAGGTCTCCCAAGAGGATAAAGCAACATTTGTCATGCAAATACTGCCCTGTGCAGAAGTGAGGGAAGGCTGCTGCAGAAGTGAATAAAGGCAACATCTTTGACCCCAGGACACAGGTCTGTGAGAGGAAATCTCCAAGCCTTTTGTAGAAGCATTAGAAGCAAAAGTATCTCAGGTGAAACTCAGGGAGTTTCTGTATAAAGGTGTTCGTATTCTGCATTCTTCTAGAGCCCTCTGTGATAAATGCCACTGGGTGGATTGCAGGATTTGGTATGGCTTCATGGGGATATGCACATGATGGAGAGAACATGATCTCTGCTTACCAAATAATGTACAGCCTAAGGAGAAAATCCGTAATTAGTATTGAGATTGATCTTAGGAACTGTTCCAGATTTCAAGCCAGTTCTTCCTGGCTCATCAGATATTTTTCTCCCCTTAGGATCATGGCTGATAAAAACCAGGAGATTGGTGGCATCCATTTCCCTTTTCCCTTCACACCCTATTCCATCCAGAAAGACTTCATGGCAGTGCTATACCAGGTGCTGGAGAATGGCAAGATTGGGATATTTGAGAGTCCAACTGGCACTGTAAGTATGAACAGTTGGCCCAAGAGGGCTCTTGGGAGACCCTGACTACAACTAGTCAGAGGTTTATTTGCCTCTGCAGAGATTTTCATGGTTTGGAGTTGGGCAAAGTAGTTCTCTCAGTTTACTTTTCTGAATAATGCTCACTTCCCTCTATTAAATTGTTAAACACAACCCCAGATTCTAAGGACAATTAGGCTACAGACAAAGGAGAATTTGAATGGCAGTGGAAGCATAGCACTGAAAGTTTTAGGACTTCTCTGGGCACACAACTTCTTTGATATTGAGCAACATAGAAATTACTTTGGCTTATTTACAGATTTAACATGTTAATATAGTCTCCAGGCACTTGGTTACTGAGTGCTGGAGGGATCCAATCAAGGCCCTAAGTTTTTTCTTCCTGGCCTAGAATGAGGGATTTATTAGACATTGTCTGTTGAGGTTGCTAGGGCTGTGGTAATCAGTTCCCACTTCTCTCTTACACTTTATTTTTTATAGCAAGTACTATGTGATAGTGAAATGTATGTGTTGCTGTGAAGGTCCCTCAATGAGGCTGTGACCTCCTGGAGGATAGGGACCTTGTGGTCCGTACCTTTGTGTCCCTATCATCTAGCAGAACTTGGCCCATTTGGCCCATAGGAGGCTCCTAATAGGTGTGTGGAATGAATGAATAAAAGGAAGTAACTCATTCTTTTCCTTTCACTTGCTGATGAAAGCATGTCACTCTCTCCTGAGATGACATGACCTCCTGGGACAGGAAAAGTGCAGACAGGGATACTATATTGTTTCATCTTATTCTTTCATATACACTGAATGGCCAGATTATTATAATATGATCTCTGAATGCATAATAATCTGGCCACTCAGTGAATATCCTACAGAATAAAAGGCTAATAGACACACACACACACACACACACACACACACACACACACATATATATATATATGCTGAGTGGCCAGATTATTATGCGTTTAGATCATAATTTGGCCACTCAGTGTATATGTAGTGAGTGGGAGAGAATGTCCTGTAATTAACAAAATGTGGGTCATAAATATAATGTGCAGAGTTATTTTTTTCAATAGTATTCTACTAGCACTTTTACCCTCCATTTAATCTAGTGCAATATGATTTCTTCCCCTACCAACCCAGTGAAATATTTTTAGGGTCAGTAGTGACTTCCTGTTTAATAGATCTGGATATCTAAAGCCCTTATTTTAACCACAGTGTAATGTTTGACATTATTTAAAAAAATATATATATATATTTTATTGATTTTTACAGAGAAGAAGGGAGAGGAATAGAAAGTTAGGAACATCGATGAGAGAGGAACATTGATCAGCTACCTCCTACACACCCCCTACTGGGGATGTACTTGCAACCAAGGTACATGCCCTTGACCGGAATTGAACTTGGTACCTTTCAGTCTGCAGGTTGACGCTCTATCCGCTGAGCCAAACCGGTTTTGGTGACATTTGACATTATTAAACATATCCTCTTTTGTTTAAAGCAATATAAAAATTTTAATCAAAGAATAACACATGTTATTTTAAAAGTCAAATTTATTGCTTTGCCAGGGTGCGCTCAGTTGGTTGTGCATTGACCCATGTACCAGGGGGTTACTAGTTCGATTCCTGGTCAGGGTACAAGCCTTGGATGTGGGTTGATCCTCAGTAGGATCATGCAGAAGATAGCTGATCAATGTTTCTCATCTATATTTCTATCTCTCCCTCTCCATTCCTCTCTGAAATAAATGAAAACACTTTTTAAAAAGTTAGATCTGGTACAGTGGGCCGGTGCTTTTAAATATTTTGTCTATTTCTTAAGAAATGTACTTTTCTCATATAGCACATTTTGAAATTATAACCTATGTGCTCTTGTTTCTTGATTTGTGGATTTTAGTGATTGGTACCTTCCTCGTGTGATGGATAAGATGTAGCTTTCTTACCATCCTTTTTTCCTTCCTCTTTTGATGTATAATAATTAGCTGTTTTTAGTCTCTGCTAATGCAGTATGCTATAATTGTTTTTTCATTGAATAATTCTATTTTTCTAGAGTTAATAGTTGCCTTTTAAAAGTTTATTTAGTGTTCAGTATGCTTATGTGAACTCCTCACACATCATCCAGTAGTCTCTCAATATGATACAGATTTTCACACTGTCCAGAAGTACAGTTGGCCCTTATCTGTGGGCTCTGCACGCATAGGTTCAACCAACTCCAAATAAAAAATATTGGGGCGGGGGGGGGCAGGGAGGCTACCTTGTTGCTGACATGTTCTATGTAGTTAGACCTATGACAGTTGTTGAATATGTACAGACTTTTTTCTTGTTATTACCCCTAAACAATATAGTATATTATAGTAATTATTTATGTAAAATTTAGGTGTGTGGAATTATATTAAGTATTATAAGTAATCTAGACATGATTTAAAGTGTATGGGAGGATGTGCATAAGTTACATGCAAATACTAAGTCATGTATCCTATATAATAAAAGACTAATATGCAAATTGTCCCCTCCACCGAAAGTTGACAGGGAGTTGACCAGGGGGTGGATTGACCAGCCAATCGTATGTGGCCCCTCCCTCTGGGCCAGGCAAGCCCAATCAGACCCTGATGGGGCAGGCTAACTTGACCCTGCCCAGGCACAAATTCGTGCACCAGGCCTCTAGTGTATATATAAAAGTCTAAGCAACTGAAATGCCATAACAACTAGAATGACCTGTAGCTATGACACAACCTTACCACCTGGGGCCAGATGCTCAACACAGGAACTGCCCCCTGGTGGTCAGTGCGTTCCCAGGGCTGGCCAACATCCCATAGTCCCTCCCCACAGCCAGCAGGCCCTGGCTAGCAGGAAGGAAGGCCCCTGGCAGCTGGAAGGCCCGGATCAGCCCTGGTTGCCTAGGGACCCCACTCGTGCATGAGTTTCGTGCACTGGGCCTCTAGTTTTATATAAGGGACCTGAACATCTACAGATTTTTGTATCCTGGGGGATCTTGAAACTAATCGCCCATGAATACTGAAGGACAGCTATAGAGTATTCCCATGAAACCTTTCATACGCCAAAATGGCAGTAAAGTGGAGAGTATCTTTCAGTTTCTAAAAGTTTGCTTTCAGCAAGTTTGTGTTATACCAGTGTGCTTTTACAAAAGAGCCAAGTTTGCTTAATACGAACTTTTGGAAAGTGGGGGATATCTGTGTGCCCTATGTAAAGTTATCATCTTAGTCTGCTAGAGTTGCTACAACAAAATGCTATAGACTGGGTGGTTTAAATGACAGAAATTTATTTTCCTGAAGTACTAGAGACAAATGTCCAAGAGTAAGGTTGCAGCAGGCTTTAGTTTCTGGTGAGGATTTTCTTCCTGGCTTTCAGATGGCCATCTTCTTTCTGTGTCCTAACATGGCAGAAAGAGAGAGGGGGCAGGGAAAGAGCGAAGGAGGGAGAGAGAGAGCGAGAGCGAGAGAGAAGACAGAGAGGGGGAAATTTGGTATCTCTTTCCCTTTTATTAGGACACCAACAGATTTATCAGAAGATCGGGGATACCTTTATGATCTTATTTTACCTTAATCACCTCCTTAAAGACTGTTTTTCCAATATGGTCATGAGCGGATTAGGCCTTCAACATATGAATTTTTTGGGGGTAAGTTTAGTCCATAGCAATAATCAATTCCATTTTACCTTGGAGACTTCCTTGAAGTCCTACATCCATTTGTTCTAATCTGAATTACTTGTTCTTTAGACCTACTTCACAACGATTGCTGGAGGATTTTCCTTTGCTCCTTTAAAAAAAATAATAACTTTTTTTTAGGATATATAATAATATGTACCCCTTTTAAGTCTATAATTCCAATGAGTTTTGACAGATGTGAACACCCATATCATCACCATGATCAAAATGCAAGACATATCCATCACCCCAGAAAGTTCCCTGTACCTCCTGGAAGTAGCTCCTTGCTGCTGCCCTCCATTCTCAACATACCAGCCTCAGCCAATGATCCACTTTCTGTAGATTAGCTTTATCTTTCCACTATTCTATAAAAATGGAATCAGATAGTATGTACTCTTGTATCTGGTTTCTTTTATTCACTCAGCATATTTTTGAGATTCATCCATGTAATGTTTGTTTGTTTGTTTATTTATTTATTTATTTATTTTTTTGGTAATGGACTCTCTGTTTCTTAGACTTATGTCTTCTTAGTTTATTTCCTTGTTTTGGTAGAGAGTCTTCCTGAAAAGGGCTGTGTAGGTAAATGTTTAAGACTTTGCTGGCCTGCAAATGTATTAGTTCTACTTGGTTGGTATTAATAGTTTGGATATATAAGTCTAACTTCAAAATAATTCTCCCTCACAGTTGCTCCCTCTGCTCACTAGTTTCCATTGTCGCTGTTGAGAAGTCCAGTGGTAGTCTGCACCTCAGTCCTCTGTAACCTGATCCCACCTCACCCTCCAAAGTTTTCAGGATCTTCTCTTTACCCTTTGTGTCTAAAATTGCATGCTGACCAACCTGCTGTGCGTATGTTTAATTCCTTGTACTGATTACTTGAGCCCTGTCCATCTGGATCATCTACCTCTCATTCTGAGACATTTTCTTGTATTTGATAATAATCTTATTGGTACTCCCATTCACTGGATTTCAGCCTCCTGGTTAATCCTATAATTATGTTTTCTTCTAATTGCTCATCTCTTTGAGCATCATGGTTTGTTTGTTTTTGTTTTTGCTTAAAATTCTACTTCTTTGAGATTTCTGTAACTTCATTGTCCAGTCTTTCTATTCAGTTTATTTTGGCTGTCATCCTTAAATATTCAAGAACTTATTCTTATTCTGTATTAAAAAACAGAAAAGCATCCTGATCTTGCTTCATGGAAATAATATAATTCTGAAGATATCAAATATAGTAGTAGTTTGAAGTCCCCCCTGCATTGTTCCCCTCCCCCCAATTTGGGGTATTACGTTTTGTTTCGAGGCTTTCCTCATATGCCTGGCGATCCTTGGCTGCCTTCTGTTGTTGTTCAAGCAAATGCCGCTGCAAGGCTGAGTGAAAGGCCTGTGATGGAGGCTGTGGACCCAGCCACTGTTTGGGGCTTCCATTTGTCAGTATTTGTAGAATTTTCCCTAGAGCCATCTATCGATAGTTATTCCAAAGAAGTCTCTCCTTTGAACACTTGCCTAGTGGGTCCAAGCCTGACAACCAGTATTTTTGAGGGACCAGAGACGTGACTTTAGGTACACAGTCTCTCACTTAATGCTCTGCTTTCAGCCCTTTTCCCCACGCTTCCGTCAACCTGCTGTCTCCAGGACCTCCTGGCTCAGCTTTACCAGAGAATACTCTACTGTGAGGAGTGGGGACTACAACTTGGGGGTCTAATTATCCTTAAAAGAATGACAATTAATCCCTTTGTTTTCAGTGCTATGCCGTGGCCCTGCTAGTTTCTGGGTATTTCTGAGGGGAAATCTGAGGAGACTTCTGTAGACACCTGGACTCAGTGTCTTTTACTCTGCTAAGTCGGTTCCATTTCTCTGCTTTCTCCTAAAACTTGTTACTATCCCTTCTTCCACTTGTTTTTGTAGATATAAGCCTCTTTTATGCCTTTGTATAATTTTAATGTGTTTCAGAAAAGGACGTTTCAGAAGAGTTAGTCGAGCATGTGTATATTCTACCTGTTAAGCTGAAGGCCCACCTCCTCCCTCTCAGGTCTTTCCGTCTTCAGCTCCTTGTTCATTCCGGCATCCTCTCCTGCTGCTCAGCCCTCCCTGTTGGTGCTCTCGGTTCTGTGGCCTCATCTGTGTTCTTCAGTTGCCTTCAAGAAAAAGCCACTGTCTTCCACGTCCCACCCCTAAATAGCTCCCTCCTGTCCTGTGCCCCACTGCCTGCAGGGGTGCCGTGCTGTTACAGGCTGTGCTTCACCTTCTAGTCCTCTGCCTCAGATGATGCCTATTTTCTCTTAAGTGTCATCTTTTTAAGCTTTTCATTAGACCACCACATTGAGTTGACCTCTTGCCTTTGTGCCCACTGTGCTTTGTATAGCATTGTGGTTCTGGAGTCCGTGTCCCACAGGAATGCATAACCCTTCAAGTCATCTGTTTACGTTTGTGCCTGTGGGCGCTTTCTAGAGAGCTCTGTGTTCCCACCATCAAACCCAGTGCATGCTACAGTGTAGGTGTTTAGAAAGAATGAATTTAGTTTTCTTTACATAAACTTTTTAAACTGTGTTATTTTAACAAAAACCCTAGGAAATAACATTGTATAAAGCTAGGTATACTGTGGGTACTTTATTAAATTTATTTCATAACTGGTGAGCAGTTGATTATACATCTTTTTAATGTTTTCCAGTCTAAAATTTCTGTGGCCTTTTTACAGAACATGAATCTGCAGGGCTTTGGTGGTCTTTTTTTTCTTGGTGTTAGAGTTTGCCACTGTTGTTTCTGGAAGATAACTTTGCCCTCAGAAACTTCCTCAGCTCACTTTCAGGAAGGGGTGCTGGCTATCTAACCAGCATCTGTGCCGGGACCATTGTTACATGGGGGATACTCTCCTACTCCTTACTTGATGGAGATGACAGCTGAAGCTCCCATTCCCAGGCAGCACAGAATGCTGCCCCAGGCTTTCCTGGAGACTGCTGTCTGCAAGTCTTTGTCACTCAGTCTCTATTAAAATGGACAGAAAAAAAGGGAACATATGGAGCTTTTCTAAACATGTGAGCCATCCATTCTTCAGAAGTACCCATCAGTCACAGAGCCTTCTGAGAATTTGATGAAAGTGAATAGATCCTCATCCCTCAGCCTGGCCTGCGCCTTCTCGCACTCGGGATGTCGGAGAGCTGGTTTCGGCCCAATCCTGTAGGCCAGACTGAGGGCCCAATGGTGCACATATTCATGCACAAGGCCACTAGTTACTTAATAATCGCGCCCCCCAAAAAAAACACAAAAAAAACAAAACAAAAAACAGATCCTAGTTGCTCATTTATGTACCAGGTGTTCCCTCTAATCTTGGTGTAGGTACTAGCTTTTATGTGTATTAACTTACTCAATGCTTGCAGCAAATCTGAGGAAAGTCCTACTATTACTGGTATTCCCATTTTGCATATTTAGAAACAAGCCTAGAGAAGTTAGCCTAAGGCCACAGAGCTGATAGGTGGAGGAGCCAGTATTTGGCCCAGGCAACCTGGCTGTGGAGTCTGAAGCTCTAGCCACTATGTTCTGCTGTTTCCGTCCAACCTAGACACACATGCATTTTACCTGCAGTTCATTCAAGCCCAAATTAGGCTCAGAACCTCACTCTGGATACTCTGAGATCACTCCTGGGTGAAGCAGGCATGGGGGAGTGATGGCCTGGACATGAAGGTGTTGGCCCTCCTGAGATTCACCTGAAATGACCTGCCCTTTGGATAGCAGAAGCAGCAGCTTTGTGGAACCCATGGCAGCAGCCTTTCCGGAAGGACTGTTATAACAAATCCTGCAAACGTGGGTGGCTTAAACAACATAAATTTGTTCTCTCCCAGTTCTGGAGGCCAGAAGTGAGAAAGAACCAAGTCTCCCAACAGTTTGGGTTCAGGGTTGGTTCTTCCTGAGGGCCGTGGGAGAAGGGGCTGTTCAGGCCCCGCTCCTTGGCTGGTAGATGTCTCTCTTTTCCCTGTCAGTCACCTTCCTTTGTGACCTGTGTATTCAAATTTCCCCTTTTTTAATGACAACAGTCAGATTGGATTAGGGCCCACCTCATCTTGATTAAATACTCCTGCAATGACCCTGTCTCCAAATACAGCCATGTTCTGAGACATTGGGGGGTAGAGACTTGGAGATGGATTTGGGGGAAACAAGATTCAAACCCATAACACAGATCCACAGGGAGAATTCTGGTCTTTAAATCAAGAATTGTGTCCTTGAGAGCAGTTGGTTTGCTTCAGACCATGGGCTGGTCTACCTGCACACCAGCTGCTTGAAAGGTGTTGTTCACCTCGGCACGTGGGTAGCATTTCATGCTCCACATGTTATAGCTATTTGGGGGCTATTTATCTACTTTCTCACTTCTAGTTATGTTGACTTACAGTAGTTATGTGTAACCTGACAAGCCACTTCAAATTCTTTCAGGAGCAGTGAGTTGTATAAGCTAAGAGCTTCATTTTTATTCCTTTCATCTTCCTACTTTTCCTGGCTATTTTTTTGCTAATTTCTTTCTCCTTCTTCCCCAGGCTGGTCTAACATTTAAAGTCAGACTTTCTTTGACGCTTTAGTAAAATGGGAAAGGTCATTTGGGAAGCTTGGTTTGTTGTTCTCTATTTCTGAAAACATTTTTTTTCCTGTAGGGAAAATCCTTAAGTCTTATTTGCGGGGCCCTTTCCTGGCTCCGTGACTTTGAACAGAAGAAACGACAAGAGGAGGCACATCTCCTTAAAACTGGAACTGCCCCCTCCAGTGATGGGAAGGACCAGCCCCCATTTATTTCATCCTCACATCAAGAGACCCCAGACACTCTGAGGCCTCCTGGAGAACCTGACTGGGTTACTCAGTTTGTGCAGAAGAAAGAAGAAAGGGACCTGGTGGACCGACTAAAGGTGAGATCCAGGTAACAGAAGTGGCTGTGATCTAGGAAACAGGAATTCAGTGATTATTTTGGATTGATTCTGAGACGTAGATACGTGTTCTTCGCCTTTGCAATGCCTTTTAGCTTTCCTGCCAGCTTTATTGAGTTAATGGTGCTGCACCCTTGCTGTCTGTTTTTGTTGTTAATCCTCACCTGAGGATATTTTTTTCCATTACTTTTCAATGAGAGTGAAAGGGAGGGTGGAGAGAGAAGCATGAATGTGAGAGAGACTCTCACATTGATCGATTGCCTCCCCAGACATGCTGCCCCGACCGAGGGCGCAGAGTGAACCCATAAACCCAGGTTATGTGCTCTTGACTGGGAATCGAATCTGTGACCCTTTGGTGCATGGGCCAGCACTTTAATCACTAAAAAACATTGATCAGGGCCTTGCTGTCTTTTTTAAGCTGATGTCCACAGGCTTCTCTAGATAAGGGAGTTCCCATTCATTACCCACCTGGGAAAGGAACCTATCTCACGGTTGCCATTGGCAGCATGGTTTCATAGCTGCAAACTCAATAAGGAATGCATTTGATTGTGAGAGTATGTGGCTGTGGGAGGGGGTATAGCGACTTCCTGCAGTGAGCAGCGAGGCCGGGACCTGGAGAGGCTCCTGGTCTGTTGATGAGTGCCAGCCAGGGGAGGAGAGCTGCCCTGTGAAGAGGCAGAAGACTGAGCAGCCCCAGACTCTGTAAGAAAGGCTTGGTTTGGGGCTTCCTGCAGGAATCTCCTTTATGGCTTCTTTTCCCCTATAGATGGAGCAGATCAGGAGGAAGAAGCGAGAAGAACGCCTACAGCAGCTCCGTCACAATACACAGCTCAAGTATGCAGCCAAGCGTGAGGTGAGTGTCATCTCCTGGAGTGGCTGCTGGGGGCCTTGAGGTGTAGCTCCTTTGGGTGAGTAACCAGGTCCTCAGGTTCCTCTCCCTGACCCCCACTCTCTAAATCCTAATGACCCAGTGGGTGGGACCTTGAGCAGAGGTAGTAGTATTACCTGGGATGTTGATACCAGTAAAGCAGCCAGGCCCGAGTTAATGGTGTGTGTGTGTGTGTGTGTGTGTGTGTGTGTGTGTGTGTGTGTGTTGTCCTTGGGGATGGCCTTGAGGCTGACTGTGTCGAAGGGGGGGCATCAGTACTGAGGTTGGTATCTTTCCCCTCCTGCACTGCTCCTGCACAGAGACAGGAAGAAGAAGAGACAGAGCGTCTCCTTCGTCTCAGCAGGGACATACTGGCGGCAGGAACAGAGGCCGAGCCGCTGGAGCAGCTAGCATCTGGGGAGGAGGATCTGGTCCTCTCGGAGTACGAGAGTGATGAGGAGAAAGGAGCCCCTAATGGGTAAGATAGCACTTTTGCTCCACCCACCACCCTGCTGAGCCCACATGGGAGGCAGCTCCTTCCTGTGCCCAGAAAGAGGCAGGCTTTCTTGTCACCCTTCGGGCACCTGACGGGATGGAATGCCAGCCCTGCCTCTTCTCTCAGCCAGGCTCCTCCTCAGGGTGCGTAAGTGATAACGGCAGTGACAGCCCTCTCTCCGGGCACTGGCTGCCCGTGTGTTAATGCCATTATTCTCACACCAGTATTCGTGTCTTCCCTTTACCCCTGAGGAAGCTGTGGCCCAGCCAGGTGTGATGCCTTGGCCACGGCCACAAGGCCAGGCAGCGGGGAGCTGAGACTTGAACCCGCCCACCCAGCTCTAGATCTGACTCTTAAGTATCAAACTGCATTGGGTACAGGTGCTTACCCACACCACCATCTTGGTTCCTGTGTCCTGTGATTTAATTCCAGGCCTTTCAGACAAAGCTGACTGAACAGTTCTTAATTGACAGGAAACTAACCCTGTAACTAACTCCTTTTCAGCAGAAGGCAATGAGCATTTCTTCCTTTTTAAAAAACTGAATTGCTAGGTGAACAAAAACAACAACAAAAATCCATCGGTTGACCCTACCTTATACACAGGTAGAGTCTATCTGAAAAAGGATTTGGTGTTTCCCAAGAAGCTTAGACTACTACATTGACTAAACAGCCAGCCAAGTAATGCAGGTTGACTTACAGCCCCATGCCGATGGGCTCCTCATTCATTCCTAGAAAGGGCGGACTCCGTTTATTCACACACCCAGATCCTGCTTGCACCGAGATCCTGCTGAGTGTGTGCACTATGTGGCATGTGATTTATTTATTTGTTTGTTTTTTTATTTTTTTATTTTTTTTAATTCTGAGGGGAGAAGAGATTGATAGGGTCATAAGTGACAGCATCTTTTATTCCCTCACCAGTCATTTAGGGCATCACTCAGGAAATGTGCATGGAATTGCTGCTGTTTTGCAGCCTATGGGGAGGGCAGAGGGTGGTTGTGGGCCGCTCCATAGAAACAAGACATACCCAGATCCGCCTGTGGACAGGATAGGGTGGTTGAGACAGGAGGAAAAACGGTGTTTGAAAGAGATGACTATCACAGGGACCATGGCAGTGTGTCAGAGGGCAGGCAACCCTGCCAGGGAGATTGAGGAATGCTGCCCAGACCAGGTAGTGTTTATGAGGAGGTCTTGGAGTTGGCTAAGTAAAGGGAAGAAGTGAGGGAGAGAGCATTCCTGACACACAGCACAGCATGTCCGGGCTCTGATAGAGTGATAGAGTCAAATTCTCTTGGTGAACTGAGAGAAATCTCATTTGCTGGAGGTTAGTCAGTGAGAGGAGAGTAGCCTTGGATGACAGTCAAACATTGACCCTATGGTTTTGGGACTACCACGTGCTTTCTCTCTGTCCTCTCCTGAGGGGCAGAGGGAGGATGGCTTTGGTGTTAGCCTGGGCCGTCTCTCTGATTGAGAGCACAAGCGAGCACCAGCGGCTTTGGTGGAACTTCATTACTGGGGTGTATCCATCTCCTTCTGGCTCAGAGCGCAGTCCTCAGTTTGGTTCTCATTTGTTTAGGTGTAGGGCTGATCGCTGGCCCGTGGTACGATGCTTAGTAAGTGTTTCTAGTAGGCCTGCGTTTGCTCAGAAATATGTTTTTTTGTGTTTTGTTTTCCTCTCAGATTAAATGAGGATGAGGATGACCTGGAGGAAGAACATGTAACTAAGGTAAGATGCCATGTCCTAAGCTTTGTGCTGTGATTGGCCTGGGGTCCAGGGAAAGTGCGAGGGTCCCTCCTGTAGGTGAGGAGCCTCCAGCCCACTGACTCTGTCTCCCCAGCCCCAGACCTTGGTCTCTAGGAGCTTACCTGGCAGGCTGGTCTGAGACCTGGGAAGACATCTCGTGGGAGCAATGCCTGGGCTCATGCCGCAGGACTTGGAAGAGCAGCCATTCTGGGCCAAGGACCTTGGGTCTCTCTCCGCATCAGGGGTTGGGGAAGGCCAGGACAGGTCAGAGTGAGAGTTCTTTGTCCTTTGGATGTCTGATGGCATGCTTCTCTTTTGTTCATATTTTCATTTGCATGGAAAGCTATGAGGCGTATGTGGTGCCAATACTTCTCAAATCCAAATCATTTGGTTTTATTCATGTAATACCTTTGTTTTCTCTGATGAAATTAGACCCCTCTCCCTTTCTCTTTTTTCCTCTCTTCACTCTTCTAGCTCTTAGCGGAGTCAGAGAAAGAATGTTCAGCTCAGCCTCTTCCTGCTTTACTGCCAGCCCCACCCTCCATGCCCTGGGGAGGTGTGTGTGGAATGGCCCTCACCACGCCCCGGAATCTGAGGGACCTTTTCCATGTCAGGAGTCACCACTCATGGAAATACCTTTCCTAAGGTGGCTCAGCCTTCCAGAGCACCTGGATTAGGGGCTGAGCATGACTGATGGGAGGAGTCCCATCTTATGGGCATTCTCTTGAACTTCAGGAGTTGAGGATGAAGTGGGGAAACCCTGTTATTTTGCTAAGATCTGTGGGAGAATCACCTTGCTTTGGGTTTGTATTTTTGTGGCACCTTTCCCCATTCCCTCAGCCCATCACCCATGGCATCCCTTGATGTGCAGAGAATATTTGAGGATGTTACACCGTCTTTGAAATCCCTTGCTTTTCTTCGGCACAGATTTATTACTGCAGTCGGACCCACTCCCAGCTGGCCCAGTTTGTGCATGAGGTCCAGAAGAGCCCCTTTGGCAAGGACACCCGGCTCGTCTCCCTCGGCTCTCGGCAGGTAGACAGAGGCAGGGCGCCTCGGCCCTAGTGCCATCTGCTCCCTTCCTTGTGCCTTTGTCTTCCTCTTCCAGGCCGGCTGAAAAAAGGGAGGATAACCTCTTCCCTGGCTTTGCTGACCCTTGGAAGGAAAGGGGGGAGGGCTGGTCTGCGAGGCTTGGGGGGTGGGGGGGAAGGGAGGGAGGCTGCTGTATATGATTTAGCTGGCACAATTTCTTTAACTCTTGCTCCTCTGTCTCATAGAATCTTTGTATAAACCAAGACGTGAAAAGCCTGGGTTCTGTGCAGCTGATTAACGACCGCTGTATGGAGCTACAGAGGAGCAGACACGGTAGCCACCTGCCCCTTGAGCTAAAGGAGCAGCCTCTGGGACCGTCTGTGGCCGCGGGCAGTACTGGGAGTGAGGCGTGGGAGGGGCATGGGCCAGCTCAGTACAGACATGGTTTCTTCCTAAAGAGCCTCTCCTTGGGAAAAGGAGTTTTTGCTTTCTGGGTCAGTGTTAATTCCGAAATCCGGGTTTTGAACAGAGTAAAATACCAGAGTGTTATGATGAGACCAGAATAAATAGTTCATTTAAGGGTTTTGTAGACATTACCTTAGCGGCCTGCTCCTGGCCAGAGGACAGTTACCGTTCTTTCTGCCTTTGCCCCCGTGCTGCCACCCGCAGAGAGCAAGAGCCCAGCTGAGGACCAGGAGCCCAAGAGGAGAAGGCGGGCACCCCGGGCTGCCTGTCCCTTCTATGGCCACAGGCACCTGCAGCTCTTCCAGGACCAGGTGCTGCTGGAGGTGAAGGACATCGAGCAGCTGGTGGCCCTGGGGAAGGAGGCTGGGGCCTGTCCCTATTATGGGAGCCGGTTTGCCATTCCAGCTGCCCAGGTGAAGACCAAGGAGGGCTGGGCAGTAGCAGCCTAGGCCGTGAGGGAATTCCTTACTTCTCTTAGTTTGGGAAGGTGTCACTGGCCATGGTTGGACTGACAGACACACTGCACACTGATGACACGTAACCCCCCCTCTCCTAGGGCATCCGGTCGCAAGAGGCCCCAGGTCCCTTGGTGGCTGTTCTGCAGGGACTGTGGCATTATGGGGGGTCAGATCCAGGAGAAGGTGTGCATTCCTATTGAAACTACAGTGAGAGATGCCGGGGCAGACACTGAGAGGAATGGGAGCTACAGAACATAAATCTATTTCCAAATGGCTGTTCTGAGTGACTGTCCTAACTGTGTACTTATTGCAGCATATGAGAGTACTGTTTTCTAGACTGGCCATATGGAGTATTATTATTAAACAGAAAAGCTGCCAGTTTAACAGGTCAAAAGTTATACTGTTATTTGGTTGTTTTGATTTAACATTTCTTGCTACTTCATTTGAGTGACTTTTGGAAATAGGATAGTATTTGTAGAGAATTCCATATAATCAAGAAAAGGTTAAAGTCGGTTTTAAAAGATGCAGGAACTGTGTTAGTAATAATTTCATGTGGCAGTAATTGCTCATCAGGCTATTTCCCTGGATTGCATGTGTGGTCCTGGGAGCAATGCAGCAGCCCTCCCAGGCCTGCCACAGCGAGGGTTAGTGCTGTAGACACTGTGTGCCAGTGCAGTCAGATGGCCTGAAATTCTTTTTCTTTTTTTATATATATTTTATTGATTTTTTACAGAGAGGAAGGGAGATGGATAGAGAGTTAGAAACATTGATCAGCTGCTTCCTACACACACACACACACACACACACACACACACCCCAACCAAGAGTACCCACAACCAAGGTACGTGCCCTTGACCAGAATTGAACCTGGGATCCTTCAGTCTGAAGGCTGATGCTCTATCCACTGAGTCAAACCGGTTTCGGCCTGAAATTCTTATGGTCTTGACTTTTTAAGGCCCTTTTCACCTCATTTTTGCTTTTATGATATCCCATTGAGGTAGCTAAGGCAGCTACTTTCCATATTCTACACCTGGAGACATGGGTCCAGAAAGGTTAAATGGTTTATCTGTTTTCTCACAGTAGGTGAGTAATGGAACCATATTAAAACCTGGGTCTTAAGTTTCCAATTTTCTGGATTTTCACTTTGTTTATCAGTATTCTTTTAACTGGAAAAACATAACACCAGAGCCACTAAAAAAATGTACAGAATGTTTTATTTTTGTTATCCAAACCCATTTCTTAACCCTGTTTTGACAGTTTATCAAGCCCATTTTGCAGATGAGGAAAACGAGGTTTACGGAAGCTAAATGACTTTCCCAGAATCACACAGCTAGGCAGTGACAGCTCCTGGACCAGAGCCCTGTGCTGCCTTCTGCTATACTAGTGGTTTTCACTATTTATTTATTTATTTATTTATTTATTTTTATTATTTTTTTTTTTTTAAGGAAACTTGGGTGCCTCAGGGGCTACCTTGGGGGAATGGACAAGGCTAAGCTACTGGGGTTTCCCTCCCCATAACCCCACTCTTGGTCTAGTCAAAAGTCAGATCAGCTTTACTTTTGTTTCATATATTTGATGTTCCACATAAAACTTTTGAGGAAAGAGTCTGTTGCTAAAAGCACAGTACGATGCCATCCTTTCCCTACACCTATTCTGGGCAGGAAATAAAACCGTTCACACCAGGAACTTAGGGCAGGCTGGTGACCCTGCTCTAGGAGGGAGTCCCGCCCCACTCAGGTGGCCCCGTCTTCTCCCAGGTGGTGGTGCTGCCCTACCAGATGCTGCTGCACACGGCCACCCGGCAGGCCGCGGGGATCCGGCTGCAGGGCCAGGTCGTGATCATCGACGAGGCACACAACCTGATTGACACCATCACAGGCATCCACAGTACGGAGGTCAGTGGATCCCAGGTAGGTCAGCCTCTCCCTCCTGGAGCCAGGGTCCATCAATGGGCAAAGGACCATTTCCCCAACTGCCTGGACCTGGGATTCCTCCATAAATGGCGCTTGGTAGTGGTGCACTGCGTCAAGGCGGCAGCCCCTTGAGAGGTGACTGCTTTCTGGTGGATCTCAGAACTGGGATCTAGCTCAGGCAGAGGGGCTGGTGCCTTCTTCTTCACCGGCCTGTGTTGCCCTGAGTCCCTTCAGACCAGGGTGCTACTAACCACTCCAGGATCCAGGATAATGGCTTGAGAGAAGCAGGGTCCTCATGTGGTTAGATGGTAACTGCTGTGAGAGGATTTAGCTGAAGAATGCCATGCACTGTAGGAGTTATCTCTGATGTTCATATCCACTCTACATTGGGCTGGTATTCCTGTTTTACACTGAGAACTCCGGAGATCAGGGAGGTTTAGGCAGTGCCTAAGGTCACATGGCTAGTAAGTGGGAAACTGGGACTTGACCACTGGTTTCTGACTCTGAAACCCACATGACATTCCACCTCTACTGACCAATGCCTGGGTTGACCTTAGGCCAGGATGTGATGGTTACCTTGATCTATCACTCTTTGTAGGCAACGCCTTTTCCCAGCCCAGTAAACACTAGAGCGGCTTCATTACCGGAGATTCAGCCTCTTGCTTTTTCCCTGGCACAGAGTGGCCCCTGCAGCAGAACCTGCCTTCCTTCTCTCTCTCTCTCAGGTCCCACCAGCCCACGGGCCTCTAAACTAGCCCCACTCTCCTCATCTTTATTGCCTCCTATGTGTCCTGGGCTGGCATTTTCTAGCCACTATCTAAACCAGTGGTCGCCAGATTGTGGCTCGCGAGCCACATGCGGCTCTTTGGCCCCTTGAGTGTGGCTCTTCCACAAAATACCACGTGCGAGTGCGCAATGCGATTAAAACTTCGTGGCCCATGCGCAGAAGTTGGTTTTCAGCTCTCAAAAGAAATTTCATTCATTGTACTGTTGATATTTAGTTCTGTTGACTAATGAGTTTGCTGACCACTGATCTAGACAATTGGCACGGCCCTATGCCACTTGCCCAGACCCTAGTCTGCCTTCATGCCCATTTCTTCTCTCCTCAGCTCTGCCAGGCACATTCCCAGTTGATCCAGTACATGGAACGATACAGGTGAGACACTACCTCCAGAGGGGAAGGGAGAATCCCACTCAGCCTCAGCACCCCTAAGCCAGCCTCTGAGAGGGGGCACTTAGGTTGGCATCTCTGCGGGGTGGCCTAGCGTGCTGCTGTCTCCTGTGTGTGTGCACCCACACAGGCCAGGGGTGCTCAGGTCACAGCATCTGGCTCTGAAGGCTGTGGGCCACAGCCAGCCTGTTTTTCTGGGGGAGTATTTGTAGCTTGTGGCCCAGTTAGAAAGACACCAGCCAGAAAGGCCTCAGCTTGGGGCACTAGAAGGGAAGGTGCTGTTGGAGTAACCCACTTGCTATCTATTGGTTTGTCCTTAGGAAGCGTTTGAAGGCCAAGAACCTGATGTACATCAAACAGATCCTGTACCTGTTGGAGAAGTTTGTGGCTGTGCTGGGTGGTAAGGAGCCCCGCCCCATGCCGCCCTAACTCCATCCTGCTCCGCTCGTAGGACTCGGCTCCCTGGATGCCGTCAGGACGTCTAACTTACTACCGTAGTAGATCTTTTTTAGGGCCCTGGTGTATTTCGCTGTTCTGGGGTAGCAATACACTACAATACAGTGAATGACGTTTTACATAATATGATAGCAGCTTGAGTGCTGCTGTGAGGATGGCAGCAGGGGTGTGCTGACTCTCAGTGACACGAGTGAATGAAGCTAGAGCCTCTGGTTACTGAGCCTATTGAGAGGAACCAGAACCCGCTGGCTCCAGGTCCCAAGCACCTTTCCAGCGTTCTGTGCAGCACCCCTGTCCTTCCCTGGGGATCCTTTTGAATGCTTTCGTGGAAGCGGAAGTCCAGTGCGGTTGTTCTGAGGGGATTTTGTCTCATGTTGGTGCTCTTGGCTTCCATCTCTGCCTTGCCTCTGTCATCGAGCAGCTGGACGTGTCCTGTTGGCCTGCCTAAACTGGGGTGGCTACTCTGTCCCTGCCGCCCTGTGAAAAGATTCTGGAGGCTTTGGGCTCCATATCACTTGTGGGTCAGACTTTGAGGCTTCCTGGAACATCTGTCCTCAGTGGCGGGTCTATGGGTATTAAAAATAGCAAAAAGCCGGTTCACAGACAAATGTTTTTATTTGCCTGTGGAGTGAGAAGTTTGGGCCAGAGGATTACCATCTTGACCTGTTTGAATTCTCTTTTAGGGAACATTAAGCAAAATCCCAATACACAGAGCCTCTCACAGACAGGTAAGAGGGTGGCCCTCATGAGCCCAGGGCTGGTCTGAGCCAGTTGTGAGCTTCCCTCTGGGACCCCAATACCATGGTCTTCAGGGCAGAACCCCAAGGCTCGTTTGTTTACCCTTAGGGACAGAGCTGAAGACCATCAATGACTTTCTCTTTCAGAGCCAGATCGACAACATCAACTTGTTCAAGGTAGAGGTTTTACTGGTTCATGTTAGCTCATCAGATCTTATCCTTACCCCCACCTGTGGCAGAACACTGTGTTAACTCTGTGGAAGGAATAGAAAGGAAATTCCTTCTGTCCTCAATCAGTCCAGAGGGCTGAGGATCTACAGCACAGACATGCCATTAACCCTGGGGGAAAAAAAAAAAAAAGTAATGTCAGTAACAAAACATAATCCAGGACCTAGGGTTGAAGGGTCAGGGAGATTAGGGGGGAAAGATGCCTTTCTTTGTACTAACTAAGCACAACCAGAGACGCCCCCGCCCCCGCTTTACTCCATCTTTCCCCGGGGTGCTGTGTAGAGCTGGAAGTTAATTTGTGAGTGTGATCTGCTGTTGGGCTGCAGTGAGTGAGGTCACAGCTGGGCCACTCTGCTTGACCTTTCTCTCGTCTTCCCACTCCAGCTGTGGTTTATTGCAGCCTCATGTTTTTGCTTGTTCCAGGCCTACAGACTGGTGCTCTCCCCGGGGCCGGTACAGCCACTGCTACCAGACTCACAACCTTAATGATTCTAGTTTACTAACAGTAATGGAGCAGTTACTGTGTTTGAGGCAGTGGGCAAGGTTCTGTGATTGTAAAGTAGGGTGTGCCATCACCATTCTAGAGCAAAGGAAGCCAAGGCTCAACGAGGTCACCATAGGAGGACACCACGCACCGGTCACACAAATGGTGCATGCTGAGCCCAGCCACATAGACTCAAGACCCTGCTTGCTTTCATAGTGCCTTTCCTTTTCAAACCAGCTGCCCTGACTTCCCTGGATTGGTCATGGTGACTGCCCTTACCCCCTGCAGACAGGCTGGCAATCCTGCCATCTTAGAGTCCTTTCTCCCATTGTGCCCCGTAGCCTGGAATAGCTGTTGAATTTACCCCACCTTTTCATTTCCACAGCTGCTACTTCAGAGCATCTTCTCCTTTGCCTTCTTTCTGGTCTTCTTGATTTCATTCTGCCTCCCTTCTAATGTTTACAAACTATAGTCTAGTGAATCTTTATGGGAAGATACCATTCTTTTGAGAATTCTTTAAAGGCTCCAAAGTCATCGTCTTGCATTCCAGCCTGCACGCCAACCTAATTGCACTCCAGGTGTCCCTTGAACAAGTCCCAGGCTTTAACTCCTTTGTGCCTTGGCTCATAGGATTGTTTTAAGACTAACTCTTAATCCCTCAAGATGTAGCTTAGGTGCCGTCATGGTGAAGGAAAGCAGAGGGACACGGCCATCACACAGCACCTTTAGGAGGGGTGGAACCATGCAGACTTGTGAAGGCCGTGCCTGAGGCCTGGCAGGGGCCCTCTCGTAGGAGAGCCCTGTGTGGTGTGGGACAGTGGGGGCAGAGTGACTTCAGAAAGGAGGGTGACATGGTCGGCCGCAGGAGGCTTTGGGCTCCCTGGGAGATGGTGGTGACTCATGCTCCCGGGGTTTTGGAGAGTGGTTATCTGTTTCTGTTTTCCATATGCCTACAGCGGGTTTGGTCTTGCAGGTGCGGCGCTACTGTGAAAAGAGCATGGTCAGCAGAAAGGTACGGCTGCCCTGCCCTGGGGCCTGGGTGGGGTCCAGCTGCATCCCTGCTTGCTGCCCTCACAGAGCCTCTCTCTCCTGCCCTGTGGAAGCTCAGAGGCACCCTCATCTCTGTTCTCACTGGGGGAGCATCCTTGGCCGGGTTGGAGAGGGACTGCCAAGATTCCTGGTGTTGGGGTTGGCGGGAGGGTAGGTGTTGGTTGAGATGCAGATGAGAGATGGAAGCCTCCTGTCCACCGTGGCCTCCCTCACTGCTGCCCTCGTTTGTCTCTGCTGCTCTTATTCCTGTTCAGCTCTTTGGCTTCACAGAAAGGTATGGGGCAGTCCTCGCACCCCCCAGGGAGCAGCCTAGACTGGCGGGGTTCCAGCACTTCCTACAGAGCCTGCAGCCCGGGGTGACTGAGAGTGAGTCAGGAGGCGGGGCTGGGTTGCAGGCCCTGGGCAGGAATGGTCCTCACACGTGGACTCTCCCCAGAGAACCCATTAGTCCAACTACAAGAAGGCTCTCTGCTCTAGCCTGTGGTCCCAGACTCTCTCCCTTCCGCTCTGTGCAGCTCCCACAGCCCCTGTGGAAGAGGGGGAGGCCAGGGTGCCTCGGCCTGCTTCCCCGCTGATGCACATCGAAGGCTTCCTTGAAGCTCTCACCACTGCCAACCAGGACGGCAGGGTCATGCTGAGCCGCCAAGGTAATCCGAGGGGAAGCCAGCCTGGAGCTGGAGGCCAGAGCATGAAAGGGCCTTTACTTCCATCCCAGCACCTCCGGGGTCAGGATGAAGAAACATGTGATGCCAGCCTCCTGTGACCTGGGCAGGCAATGGGGGTAGTGAGGAGGGAAGCAGGTGTGTGGGATGGTCAGTTGTCTCAGGCAAGGTTGTGAGAGGAGCCATGTAGCCTAGTGGTTAAGGTAACATGGGCTTTAGCTTGAGCCTTGGTTCCATCACCTACAAGCTGTGTGTCTTGGACCAGTTTCTTTGTCTCTGAGCTGCATTTTCCTCATGTGAAAGGGTGCTAATAGTACTTACCTCATGGTTGTGCTGCAGATTAAGTGGGATTTGATTTAAAGATGAAGTGATTACGGTATCTCTCGTGCCTCCTATTATATACATGGACCCAGCTGGAGGTCCCCTCTGCCTCGGAGGATAGAAGTATTTGTTGGGCCTGCACCTGCCCCTTCCAATGTAGATCTTTTCTTTGTTGTTTTATTAGGTAGCCTCAGTCAGAGCAGCCTGAAATTCTTGCTACTGAATCCAGCAGTGCCTTTTGCCCAGGTGGTGAAGGAATGCCGGGCAGTCGTCATTGCGGGGGGCACCATGCAGCCGGTAAGGACATCGGATCCAGACTCCTGTGCCTGGGTATGGATGGGACAGTGACAGGAATGGTGCGTAGTCAGGCCTTTTCACCTCATCCCTTGGGTTCCCAAACCAGAAAGTGCTTGGCTTGAACAGGCCAAACCATGTCCACCAGGTGGCACTGCTGTGCTGCCTCACTGCTGGGCCTTGTAGGCTTGGGGATGGGCCTTACCACTGCTCCTGTGTGCCTGAAGCGGTGGGATCACACTTCTCCAGAGAAAGTCCTGTTAGAGTTTCTTCCTCACACTTAGTGCCTTAGTGCCACTTCCTTCCTGTACCCGCCATAGATATGACCTTCCCTCTTATAAATTTAAATGTATTTTTAGAAAAGTATTATATTTTCATTGTAGAAATCACAGATAAGCAAAAACAGGAAGAAGAGTCATAATTTCACGAGCAAAAGATTCATTTGGTGCATATCATTATAGTTGTATGCATAATTTCTACAAATATACATATACTAGAGGCTGATGCACGAAGATTTGTGCAAGAATGGTCCTTCCTTCCCCTGGCTGCTGGCACCGCCTTTGCTCCAGCCCGGAGCCACTTTTCTGCCTTTGCTCCACCCAGAACCACCTGTCCGCCTTTCCACACTGCCCAGATGAAGCAGCTGGGGCAGTGTGAAATGCCTGCGTCGTCACTATGGTGACGACACAAGCGTCCCACCCCCTGCCACTCAGAACCTGTGTATGCAAATTAACCTGCCATCTTTGTTGGGTTAATTTGTAAACTCCTGATTGGCTGGTGGGTGTCGCAAAGGTATGATAAATTTGCATCTTTTTTATTAGAGTAGATATTTTTAAAACAAAAATATGGCATTATCTGTAAATGCGGTTGTTATAATTTGCTTTTTCTCACTCAGCAACAGAACGTTATCCATATTTTTCTTGTCAGTAAACAAGCATTTATTCCACCATATTTGGCTATAACATGAACGCATTATATTTTATATAACCACTTTTTTTTTAGGTATTTAGGTGATTTTTAGTTTTTCTCTAGAAAACAACAGAATTTAAATAGTAGAGTGGTAAATGTAACCAGTCCCTACATAGTGGTTATTTCCTTAGGAGACGTCCTAGAACAGCGGTCGCTAACTGGTGGTCCGTGGACCACTGGTGGTCTGTGAGGCCTGAAAGGTTGGCAAACGCTGTCCTAGAACAGGACTTCCTACATGAAAAGCTACTCAGCATCCTCAAGTGGTCTCTTCCCAACCTCAGCTGCCTGTCAGATTGCCTCTGTAGCTTTACTGTTTTCCATTCTTTCATGTGTCTAGACCTGTATGTTGTTTTCATTTGTGTGTTAAAATAATTGGTAGTCATTATAGCTCAGTGCTCAAATCCATTGTGGCCTGTGGGAACCTCCCTGCTGCTATGGTCCTTGTGATGTGGCTTCCTCAGTCTTAGGATGCTTCCTTGCTTCCTGGCACAACAAAACACCCCAGACCACCTGGTGCTTTCTTTACCCCAGATCTGGAATCATTCATTTCTCCAAGGCGCCCTAGTTTCTTTTGTTGGGGATGGGTACTTAGAAACCAAGATCTGGATGCTATGCATGTGCAGTGTTCCTGGATGATTATTGTTTGTGGATCTTTTCAGTACCGACCTGGGAAATATGTTTTCAAACATCATGAGATCATATTGATATTTCTGATTCAAAAATCAATCAATTTATTTGACCTTATGCTCTATCTCATTTCTTAAGCTAAACTTGTTTTTTTATCCTATAGTAGAGGCCCAGTGCACGAGTTGGTGCACGGGTTGGGTCTGGCTGACTCACCCTGATCAGGGCCAGTCATGGCCAGGCCAGCTGGGAGGAGAGGCTGCAGGCAATTGGCCAGCAAGCCCTACCCCAAATAGGAATAGGGAGGCCAATTGGGGGTCAGCGGCCAGGGGAGGGGTCTGGCTCTGCCCCTGATTAAAGTTGGGGGGGGGGGTTGATTGGAGACAGGGCTCTCCAGGGGGAGGGGCTGCAGGAGGCTGGCCAGGGGGAGGAGCTGGAGGCCAATGGGGTGGGGCAGGCAATTGTAGCTGGACTGGCTGGGAGAAGGGCCGGGTGGGTGTTGGCTCGCTGCCCCACCCTTGATTGGGGTGGGAGAGGCCAATCAGGGGCGGGGCCGACTGGGAAGAGGGGCCAAGGGAGGTTGGCTGCAGCCCCACCTGTACTCCCCCAATCTGGCTTGTTTGCTGGCCACAGTGGGCATCATAGCAACTGGTCTTCCGGTTATTATGGCATTCCAGTCGCTGGCTTTTTATATATCTACTAGAGGCCCCCCGGCGGGGGGGGGTCCTTTCAGCCTGGTCTTTCCCTTCTCACAGTCCAGGAGCCCTCAAGGGATGTCCTACTGACAGCTTAGGGGAGTCTAAGCCACAGTCTGGCCTCCCTCTGCAGGAGGCAACTGAGCTGATCAGGGGAAGGCGCCGATCATATCAACACCTCTCCCTCCCCACTGCTGGCTACGATAGCTGCGAGGCCTGAGCCCTGGGCCTCGCCCTGGGCCTCGCAGCTGCCAGGGCTCAAGGCTGCCTGAGCCCAGGCCTCCACCTAAGGCTAAAAAGTTTCAATTAGAGAAGATAAATGAATCCCAACAAAAATGGCAGCAGCCACGGAGCTGGAGAGAGCAGGAGGCTTGGGTTTCCTCTGGCAATGGACTTGGGTCACCAGGGGGCATGGCTGGCCTTCAAACCACCACAGGCCCCTTGCCCAGGCCACCCCATGCCCCAAGGGAACCCGCACTCTGATCCGGGACACCCTTCAGGGAAAACCAGCTGGCCCCCACCCATGCATCAGGCCTCTATCCTATCTATAAAAGTAATATGCAGATTGACCATCACTCCCACACACAAGATGGCTGCCCCCATGTGGTCAAAGATCCTGCCCCCATGTGGACACAAAATGGCCACCACAAGATGGCCAGCAGGGAGGGCAGTTGGGAGGGAACAGGCCTGCAAGGGAGGGCAGTTAGGGGTGACCAGGACTGCAGGGGAGGGCAGTTGGAGGTGATCAGGCCAGCAGTGGAAGGAAGTTGGAAGGGACCAGGCCTGCAAGGGAGGGCAGTTGTGGGCGATCAGGCCAGCAGGGGAGGTCTATCCTTCTACTATGTCATGATAAATTTTCTTTTTTCTTTTTTTTTTTTTTTAATTTTTTAAATATATTTTATTGATTTTACACAGAGAGGAATTGAGAGGGACAGAGAGTTAGAAACGTCGATGAGAGAGAAACACCGACCAGCTGCCTCTTGCACACCTCCCAACGGGGATGTGCCCGCAACCAAGGTACCTGCCCTTGACCAGAATCGAACCCGGGACCTTTCAGTCCGCAGGCTGACGCTCTATCCATTGAGCCACACCGGTCCTGACTCTTTTTTCTTTTTTCCCCCCAAAATAAGCAGATGTTTTTTTTCCTTTCCTTTTTTTCTTACGTCAAAGGGGGCATGCTCAGTTTCTGTTCACCAGTATGCTCTGGTGATCACTTCGTATCCGCACACAGGCACGGTCTGCGTTCCTTTCGTTGGCTGTGGAGGTTACTGTTGGGTGGATGCAGCATAGCGCAGTCGACCAGTCCCTCTGGGAAGGCAGTCGAGCCCTCATAAACTTCACAAGAAATATCCCGTGCATGTGTTAATTGGTTTGTTGAGCTGTATCTTCTTGGGAGACTACTAGAAATGGGATTGCTAGATTAGAAAATCTAAATATATCTGATTTGTTAAATATTGTCCCATTCCCCGCTAGCTGTGGTGGTACTGTGCTATATTCCACCTGCAGTATATACACATGCCTGTTGCTCCAGAGTGGTCAAACTTTTGGATTTTTGCCAATTTGATAGGTAAAAAACTTGAACTTTTAAAAATACAAAAGCATAGTCCTCGCACTAGAGATTCTTATTCAATAGTTTAGACTGAGCCCTGGCCATGTGAATATTTTTTTTTAAGTTCCCACTGGTGATTTTGTTGCCTATGCAGGGCTGAGAGCCACTGTGCCAAATTTCCTTTGCTATTCCCACAAGTAGTTAAATGGGACTGCCAGCACTGGGCATCATATAATTGTTTTATCCTTTTTGCTAATTTGTTATCAGCTTTTCTTTTTACTTCTCTGTTCTTATGTACTTGCTGCCTCCTCACCTAGACTTCTGTCTTTCCAAGCGATTCTCTCTTCCTCTCTCTATTACGGCCCCTGCCTGCTCAGGCCTGAGGCCCTGTCCCTGGATCTTAGGGAGGTTACAGAGCCTTCACGTTGTGGTCCGCAGGTTTCTGACTTTCGGGAGCAGCTGCTGGCATGTGCTGGGGTGGAAGCCGAGCGCCTGGTGGAGTTTTCCTGTGGTGAGGATCCATGTCCAGGGTGGAATGGGCCGCGTTGTCATAGTTGAACCATATGCTGTTAGCAGGCGTAAGGGGCTGAGGAAACACGGGATGGACATCTCATCCTTTGCCCGCTCTCTCTGAACTCGCCATCTCTGTGCTCTCATGCTCTGTGCCCCCTCTGCCCACCTGGGAGAGTTCTGAGCATTGCTGCTGTAGTGTGGAAATAGGTGGGTGGGTAAGTGATATAAACAGCTACTCCTAGTCTGGAAGGCAAGGGTTGGGCAGTGCTCTTTCTGGACTCAACCTTGCACCTCCAGTTCTCAGCCTCTCTCTGGGTCTCCCCAGGTCACGTGATCCCTCCAGACAACATCCTACCCCTCGTCATCTGCAGTGGGCCCTCTAACCAGCAGTTGGAATTCACATACCTGAAAAGAGAGCTGCCTCAGATGGTTAGTACCAGCCATCCTGCCTCACCTTGCCTTTGCTAGGGCAGGAGAGAAACTTCTGGGGTGGAGACACTCTGGCTAATCCCAAGTGTTCAAGCATTGTGCAACTTAGTCCTGGTCCTCATCACAGCTGGCACGGGAGGAATAGTGGCACAGGATGAGTAGTGTCTAGGTGCTTATCAGGAAGGTCTGAGCTTCCCCGAGCCCCTCACCTCTGACGCTGCTAAATAACTTTTTCTGTCCTGGCCGGCCTGGCTCGGTTGGAGCATCAACCTGTGTGCCAAAAGGTCTTGGGTTTGAATCCCAGTCAGGGCACATACCCAGGTTTCGGGTTCAATCCCCAGTGGGGGCATGTATGGGAGGCAATCAATCAATGTTTCTCTCTCCCTCTCCCCTTCTCTAAAATCAATGAAAGGTATGTCCTTGGGTGAGGATTTTTTTTTAAATAGTTTTCTTGACACCTCCAGCCATCTCTTTAGGATGAAGCTCATGAGAAACTATTTCCTTTTGCCATTGGGTTATATCGAGCCCTGCCAGCAGGGATGCCAGTGCTGGGGGCACTTCTCTAGTGGCATGCCTGGGGTTTCCAGTGCCCAGTTTGACATAATCTCCAGTTGCCCACAGGACGTTGGGAGTGGGGGAGGGCGGACCTGGCACACACCAATGACTGGTGTAGCTCTGTGTGCTAGGACTGCGGTGTGTCAGACGCTGCTAGTTACCAGGAGCAGCAGTTGAGTGTGTTTGGAGGGAGGGTGGCACAGTCCAATTTGTGATTCCCAGGCAGGGGGCACCACCTGGCCAAAGCCCTCCTTGACCACACTCACCCTTGAGTCTCTGTACTTGTTCTGAGCCCTAAGGTTCGGAGCCTCTCTGGGTGTGCTTTCAGGAGTGGCCCCATGGAGGGCCCCTTGTCTCCCTTTCTCAGATGGACGAGACAGGTCGCATCCTCTGCAACTTGTGCAACGTGGTGCCTGGAGGGGTGATCTGTTTCTTCCCCTCCTATGAGTACCAACGCCAGGTCCATGCCCACTGGGATAAGAGTGGCCTGCTGGCCCGCCTGGCTGTCAGAAAAAAGGTGAGTGATCCCTCAGCTGGACCTTCCACTCTGGGGACGGTGTCCCAGAATTCCCGTGGGATTTCTCCTGCACATCAGACTGGCTGGTCGGGCCTCCCATATGAGGGTGTCTCCCACCACTTCTAATCCCTGGTCCCTGTCCTGAGGAGTCCCCAAAGCCCAGGCTGGAAAACAAGATCTGGAGCAGACCTGTGAGCTAGGCATCCTGAAACCCTGTTCTGGGAGATGTCTTTACTTTCAGATATTTCAGGAACCCAAGCGAGCAAACCAGGTGGAACAGGTGCTGACAGAGTATTCCAGGTGCATTCAGGTGAGAGCTGGAACCCGGGCCTTGGGTCCAGACCTGTGGGGTTGGCGGCTGAAAACCTGTGGATGGCATCCCAGTTTTGGGCTGTTCCTGCAGTGCCGTGGCCAGGCAGGAGGCATGATGACGGGAGCCCTGTTGCTCTCGGTGGTCGGAGGAAAGATGAGTGAAGGCATCAACTTCTCTGATGATCTCGGGCGGTAAGTAGTGGGCTTCCCATCTCCCAGGACTCTGATGCCCATCCCCTCACTCCAAGCAGCCCTCCCTCTCTCTGTAATCTGCTGCCATCTGAGTTTGCACCCAGCTGCGTGGGGAAGTGATTCGCAGCTTTGGGTGTGGTCCTTTGAGGCCAGGTGGAAAATTAGGCAGATGTAACTTTATCAGAACTCAATTCCCTGGCCTAGATGGATCTCTGGCCTAGAGGATCTCTTAGCTGAAAAACCCCTTTCCAGGCGGTATAGGTGGTGAGGGAGAGGGGGAGCCACTGAGCACAGCTTGAGAACCGGAGTGGTAGGCTCAGCAGCTGTCATGTGGGTGAGGACCCGGCCCTGCGTCCTGGGCCTTGCGAACCCCAGGTGCCTTTGGCTCTTGTGTGCCTCCACTCAGGTGTGTGGTTATGGTGGGCCTGCCCTACCCCAACATCAAGTCTCCAGAACTCCAAGAGAAAATGGCCTACCTGGACCAGACCCTTGTGAGTACCTTCAGGGTCTGGAGGATGAGAGGGTGTGGGGAGGGAGCTCTGTAGCCTCTAGAGCTAAGATACAATGTCACTTCCCCCACTGCCCCTGCTGTGTGTTCTGGGGGGGAATGGCAGCATCCTCCATACCCTCTTGAGCTTCTCATGACATCATCCATTGTATCAGTTGTTGGCATTGTGCCTGTGTAGCCGTCTTGCTTAGAACGTGGCAGTGTCCTTTTCTCAGAACACTAGGCAGGGGACAAGAAACAGTTCTGATAGATCATCTTCTCTGTGCTTCCCAGCCCCGAACCCCAGGTCAGATCCCCCCAGGAAAGGCCTTGGTGGAGAATCTATGTATGAAGGCTGTCAACCAATCAATAGGTAAGCCGGGACTGGCCTTGGATGAAGAGTTGGGGAAGGAAGGATGAAGAGTGAGGTGGCAGGATGGGATTTTACTTACCATCTCTCTAGTTTGAGGTCTGAGGAGGAGAAAGGGACACAGAATGTACTGTCAGTAGGTAGGTTTGATCAGAGCCCGAACCTGTCCCATCCAGGGAGGGCCATCAGGCACCAGAAGGATTTTGCCAGCATAGTGCTCCTGGACCAGCGGTATGCCCGCCCACCTATCCTGGCAAAGCTGCCAGCCTGGATTCGAGACCGGGTGGAGGTCAAAGCCACCTTTGGCCCTGCCTTTGCTGCTTTGCGGAAGGTCAGTCCTACCTTTGTCTTTTCCTTCCTGAGGACATTCCCACCAAGATCCCCACCTAGTGTTTCACTGTCTTTCCCTGTCTCCCCAGTTTCATCACAAGAAGTCTGGCCTTTCCTGAGGGATGGCCGCACCCATCTGGAGTGCAGACCAGCCCCTTCTGGAATCCCCGGTTGCCAATAGGCGAAAATTAGGTCGATCCTGAACAAGCAGTGGCTTCTGGCTACCCAGGGCAGTTCCCCTCCCTGAAACTGGTCTTTCTTGCTGTTCACACACCCAGTTGAGCCCCCCCCCCGGCCAGCTTCCATGGGCAGCTGTGGAAGCTGCACCTTCCACTTAAGTGTCTGCGCGTGCTCGTTTCTCAGCACCCTTTTCTCAGCGGCAAGATGGAGCAGGCCTCTCCTGCCTCTCCCTTTTCTCTTCCCTTTTAGCTAAAATTAGTGTTCTAAACCTTTGCTTTTCCCTCTAAATTAAGAATATTCCCCATTTCCGGCCCCTGGTTCTGGGCTCTTCTGCCCTCTGGCTTCTGGTTACTTTGACCCACTGCCACCTGGGGGTTAAGCACCCTCTATGACAGTCGGGCACTGAAGTCATTTGGAAGTGGGAGCAGAGCCCTGTGTGGTGCTCCCCGCCTGCTGGCCCTAACCTGTCCCACAGCCCTCCACAGCATGCTACCTCCTGGGCTGGTTCCAGGTCCCTCCAGTAGGTGGGGCTCCTCTCCCTCTTGCCACTTGAGCAAACTCCAAGATACTTCTTCCCCTGGCATCAGCAATTACACCAAGGGCCATTAGGCTCTCAGCAGGACTATTTTTACCCTGCGACATTTTTTTCTGTGTGAAAATATCCCTCTCTCCATCCGCAACAGCTGCCCTGTTGACTGCACCTCCCTTCCCTGGCCCCAGAGAAAGGGGGCTTGGTCCACTCGCACCTTGTCCCATTGCCTGAGACCAGGGGGAGCAGGACAGGCCCTGGCTCGGAGATGTTTGCATTCTGCACAGCTGTAGTTCCTTAATTAAAAGTGCACTGTTGGTTGATGCTGTTATATTTCTTTATTGATCTGTGTACTGCTGTATCTCAGTCTCAGGGAACAGAACATGCTAGTGAAGGAGGTAGGTAGAGCACAAGCAAAAAACAAAGGCCCCCTCCCACCACCCTCAGAAGCCAGACTCTCTGCTCCTTGAAGATGGTCCAGGCACAGACCTGGGTAGTCCTCTCTGATCCCCATCCCTCCAAGGGCAGCAGGGGCTGAGAGGCCCGCAGGCCAAGGAGCCCATCCCAGCTGTTAACATCTGAGGGCAAGAGCCTCAGCCTGATTTGGTGAGAAGGAGCTGCTGAGCCCCTAGGATTCCCAGTCCTCCTCGTCCTCTTCTCCAGGTGGCTGCTGTGGGGGAGGCAGAGGTGGGATGGAGTCTGACATTCGGGCGAAGGCTCCTCCTGGCCCCTCGCTGGCCTCGGCCCCAGGTCCTTTCCCAGAGATGCCTGGAAGGGAAAAGGTGAAAAGTGAGGGTGGGTTGTTTGGGGGATCCTAGCCCCTAAAGTCTTAGAAACAGGAAGAAAAAGGCAGAATGTGTATAACACACCCCAACCCCTGGCCTTGGGAAGCAGCAGTGCTCTGTCCTACCTTTGCGCCTCATGACCAGCTTGTTAAAGAGATCCGACATCAGGTCCCCGCCTTGGCCTGTGGCTCTCACTGCAACAGGAAAACCATGGGTGAGGGAGGAGGAAGGGACCAATGTGAGCCTGTTCCTGGGTGATAACCTCAGGGTTTAGTCACATTTGTCCTCTTTTTCTTCATGACTGACACACCCCAACCCTCCACAGCCAACATGTCACCAACAGCTCTTGGATCCACCACCAGGGCACTGATGAGAAAATGGGTAACATTTGAGTTATGCTGTCTCGGCCACCCTGTGAGACGGCATGAATAAGCAGCCCCACAGTATGGATGAGGAAACCAGCTCAGAGATGTTGGGCAATTTGCCTGGGTCACAGTGCAAAGCTCAGAGGCAAAGCCAGGACTCAAGCTCAGGACTGTTGACATCCAGGACACTGTTGCTTTATGCCCAGGTGTTATATTTATGCCAGTGTCATAGAAGTAATCCATAGCCCCAAGAGTCCTCTGTCTCTAAAGTATCTCAGGTCCTGGCCATTTCCTCAGACAACTGGCAGAGGAGATTTCTCCTGTTTGGGCTGGATGAGTCTGTCCCCTACCAGCTTAGAGAAAAGCAGGCTCCAGGACCCAGCAGGAACCCTCCCCCAGAGGCAAGGATGTTAGGGTGGCCACGCAGGGTTTACAACAAACACCCTGGGGAATGGGGCAGGCCTTCTGACACGGGTGCAAGGAGCACCCTATCGGAGTCTGGTGGTGGTTAAAGAGGTGGCTCTTTTCTTAGAGCCCTACTGGAGGGGTGTAGGGTCCCTTCACCTTGCTCCTGCTCCTTCTGTTTCTTCTTCTCCAGCTTGCGCTCCTTGACGCTGCGAAGCTTGGCCTTGCCGATGCCCCCAGCCTGGCGGATAGACTCCAGGAGGGTGGCCCGGCCACTGGAGGGGTCCACTACTTCCTTGGGAGCCCCCTGGACTGGAGCTGGGGGTGGGGGAGGAAGGCTGCTCAGGCAGGGCTAGGCTGTGGGGTAGCCTTGCCCAGCCCACAATTGTAGGGTCCAGAGAAGCCCTCAGCAGCTGGCTGTGAGGAGGGGCTGTTCCTGAAGAGGAACCCAGCTGGTGAAGCCTGAGCTCAGGAAGTCCTGGGTCAGGCACCGGTCCCTCTCCAATCCCCACCCAGCTTAGCTGCCTCCCTGCAGAGGTGGACCCTGGGCATTACTCATGCGCTGAGGATCTATACGTGACACATGCCCACCGCTGCTCCTACCTGAAGGAGACATGCTGCTGTCGTCCTTGGCACCTTGACCTGGAGAAGGCACAGTCTGCGGCGGGGGTGGGGGCGGGGGAGCGCTGGCCAGCACCGCTGGAGCCGGGGGAGGTGGAGGAGGAGGTGGCGGAGGTGGAGGTGCTGTTAGGACCCCATCTTCTAGGTCTGAAACAAGTGAGAAATGTAAGGTGGCTGGGGAAGAAAGTGGCCCAATTCTCATTCGTGGTTCTCACTTACCTGGCTTGAAAGGCTCGGCCACCTCTGTGTGGAAGGCAGGCAGCTCTGGAATGGTGCCAGGGGCAGAGGGGGCAATGCCAGGGCCCAGATCAGCGCTGTACATGAGGTCATCAGCAATGCCTGGTAGGTCGGGCAGGTAGGACGGCACGTCGATCTCTGGTACTTGGCCCAGGTCAGGCACATAGAAGTAGTTCTCTGGAACCTGCAGAATTAGGTGGAGGTATGTGAGATGGGGTGCTGCAGGGGTCATGGGTCCTGCAATTTGACCTTAAGGCAATCAGTGGGGCTCAGGTGGGATAAGGGGCTCCACAGACCTCTTGCCTAGAAAACGCTAGCAGGGTCTCCCATTATCAACCACCTATGCCCCCCACCCACCCAAGAATAGTCTACCTGTTGCTCCAGCTGTTCTCTCTTGCTGATTGACAGAGGGGCATCAAACAGCTTCTCCTCTGTCTCCAGCATCACATGGGTCTTAGTTACGGCACCAGCCAGGGGGTCCAGGAAGACATACTTTTTGTACCTGGAGAGGTAAGGTGGAGGTGAGGTGATCTATCATCTGTTCCAGACCCATGGCCCTGACCTAACTTTCCTACTTCATCAGGATCACAATTAGTTTGTACTGTGGATTCCCAAGCCTTACAAGACAAAGCAAACTGTCCTGGCCTTGCAGGCTGCAGACTTCAGCTGCATCCGAGTCTGATGTCCCTGGGGTCTCCCACTAAGCCAGCCAGGGCTCCCACCTCCCCTCTGTAGCCCCCCTTCTGGCCATACAGGTTCTCAGTGGTGTTGAAGAGCAGCAAGGAGCTGACGGAGTTGATGTTGCTGGGAAGACCCCCGAGCCCCTCCTCAGCCTCATCCTCAGGTTCCAACTTGGTGTTCACACACACAGGGAAGTATTTCAGCTTCTCCTGGGGGTGGGGCAGAAATGTGACAGGGGGGTGGTGGTTACAGGGCCAGACCAGTGACCTCCACCCCATTCCGCTAGAATCCTCTTGGGGGAAGAACCCTATGCTGGGCCCTTAGTTCCTCCCCGACATCCAGTACTGCCACTTGCCACTGGTCACGCCCTGCAAGCGTGTGAATTGGGGGTGCCCATCAGACCTGCAGGGCCCGCTCATCCAGCGGGCGGTGCTTGCTCTGGATCCTGTGGCGGGGGCGTCTCTGCAGGCCAAAGTCCTGGGCACCCTTGAAGATGGAGCTATACTCCTGCAGGTGCTCTGGGGCGGGGTACTTGGCACTGGAGAACACCTGTGGACATGGAGAGTCTGACATGTCCTTCCAGAAAAGAACTTCCAGAAAGCCTAGGTTTGGGATGAGGGGATTCTGAGAAGGAAAGCTTGAGGTGTGGCTGGACAGTAATGGTAGGGATGTGGGCAACCTCAGAGGCACAGGGATATGGTAGAGAATGGGTTATCTGTGACGGCCCATCAGCCACAAGGACACATAGCCTACCTTGATGGCCTTCTTGCTGCCCTTAATCTTCTCAATCTTGGCCTGGGCCAAGGAGACCCTCTCCCCAATGGCCTGCAGCTGGCTCCGGCTCAGCTCTACTCGCTGAGAGATCCTGTCACAGAAAAAATAACAAGTTTGAAGTTGCTCCTCAAACCCCTGCAGCCTCCTGCAAACCTCCTGAGTCTAACAGCAAAGCTGAAAAAAAATGGGGACTTAACAAAGGGTTTTAAAAAAAATGTTATCTGCTTGTCAGGGTCAATCTTGGAACTCTTCAGCTGACCTCTCAAAGATCATCCAAACTGAAGGGTCTAGAATGCACTGCATTAAGTTTCCCGGAGCTCTGGGTAGGGCTGAGCAATTACCCTGGTGCCTAGACATGCCACCTGAAGGACATTGTTCCCACCTTCCAGAGTTTGCAGCCTCTGGCTGGGGCAAGCAGAGACAGAATCTTCATGACTGACATGGATACAGTCACCTATTTACAGACAAGGAAACCAGAGTTCAGCAAGACTGAGTGACGGCAAGGCTGGACCTAAATTCAAGTCCTAGACCTGTTCACGACTCTTATAAGTACATCCCCAGTCTTGACCAAGGCTCTCCATGGTCTGACTGCTCATGGGCTTCCTCCCCTTCCTTCCTACTCCAATCAATTGGCTGCATCAACACCCGCTGCCCTGGAATTCCCCGAACATTCCAAACTCTTATTGCATGGCATTTCCATCAAATGGAATGCTGTCCCCCAATATCCACACTTCACTTCATTGAGCCCCTCATGAAGCCTTCCTGACCATAGAATCTGAAAATGCACCCAACTGAAAATGTCACTTCCCAACTCCCACCCGCTCTTTCACACAGTGCACTTGACATTGTGTGTCTCTTGCCTGTATGTGCTCGAAGGACTGAGGACTCTGCTTTGTTCTTGGGTAGTCCCAGTGCCTAGGGCAGTGCTGGACCTTTCAGGCCCCTCTATAGTTCCTGATGACTATACCCATGTGCATTTACGTTTAGGGCACATGGGTGTTAAAAAACCTCACTTACGCTGTCCCCATGTTACTCGGCAACAGCAAGGGTCTTCTTGCTGCAGCGTTAACCCTGGCTCTCGTGTGCCAGTCTATCCCTCCACAGGCTCCCCCACCTCCCAGAACACCAGTTCCTGCCCATAACCACCACGTTGCACATTCAGAGCGGCCACATCTTTGTATTCACCCGGCAGGAGTGAGCACATAGCGAGGCAGGAAAAATGAGGCAGAGTTGCAAGTTGAGTGCCTGGGAAAGGTGGGGAGGATACGGTGGGTGGCAGGGTGGCTTCACTGCTCTGCAGTGGGAGACTGCAGGGTTAAGGGACTCGGAGATTTCTTTAAAAGTTGAAAGGAGCAGTCAAGACTGGCCCAGCCTTCCTAAAGCATCCCCACCACTCTAAAAGGGTTTTGGCCCTCCAAAGAACCCACATCTCTATCCGATAATTTCACAATCCAAGGGTCTCTGTCTTGACAAAGTCCCTGATTATGTGGCTCCTCGTGTGCCAGAGGTGGAGTGAAGTGGGGGCTGGGACACAAGCAGGCACCCAGGGCAGCTTAGCTTTCCTTGACAGACTGGTCTGAGTGGGGCAGCAATGCTGACAGATAATAAGAGGGCAGTTTCCAATGAGAGAATGCAAAACCATCTGTCCTTCCAGCATGGGCTCCCTCTTTTCCACAGGGAGAAAGGTCTTCCACTGGGTAGGCATACTTGATCAAGCTGCTTTGTCCAGTTCCCACCTCTGTCACACTGGCCTGGGTGCTGAAGCACCTAGTGGTTATGTAACCACTCCTCTTGGAGTCAATATGGAGAGGGAGGGACATCAGACCTAGAGATGGATCAAGGCTACTCTGTTCTGCTTCTTCCATTAAGGAGAGAAGGGCCAATTCCTTAATACTGTAAACATCAAGCTTAACAACAAACTGGCAAATTTCCAGAATGAATTATTAGTGTGTCTGTAAAGAAAAAGAAGAGGCAGGTCCTGGGGGCCAGCACTGTTCTACATTCACAGCATTTCTTTCTTAGACAGGATTATTAGATCCGTGTATCAGGGGAAAACCTTAAACACAGTGCATCTTGAGTCAGCAAGGATTTGGACGGCTTCTCACACAATCCTGCAGACAAAATGGAGCTATGGGGTTGGAGGAGAGTACACTTGAGAAAATCAGGGCCAGATGAACAACAGTCTCTGAAGGGCACTGCAGGAGAAGGGGCTGATTTTGGCTGCACCAAGGTATCTGGCACGGCCCAGACCAGCTCAGTCAACACTGGGGATATCAAACGGAGAGGGTAAAAAATGGTCTGCATGATGGAACCTAGGCTTAAATAATCCTGCGGCCAGAAGGATGGAATGTAAGAAGCAAGATAAAATTGACAGAGATGAATGGGAAGCCCAGCATTCAGATTAAAGTCAAGCGCACAAATATAGAAGGTGAAGGCTGAACACTAGCTCAGATGAAGAAAGGCCTGAGGTTTTGGTTAACTATAAACTCAGAATGAGCTAAAAGAATGTTAAGAAGCTTAAAAAGGCAATACAGCCCTGGCTGGTGTTTCTCAGTGGTTAGAGCACCGACCTGCCTACTGTAGAGTGTGGGTTCAATTCCCAGTCAAAGGCACATACCTGAGATGTAGATTCAATCCCTAGCCCTGGTTGTGGCACATGTGAGAGGCAACCAATTGATGTGTCTCTCTCATATCGATGTTTCCCTCCCTCCCTTCCTCCCTCCCTCTCTCTCTCTCTCCCCTCATTCTTCCCCTCTCTCTAAAAATCAATGGAAAAAATATCCTCGGGTGAGGATACATAGCTCCTGGTCCATCTCCTTTATTTATTTATTTATTTATTTTTAGAGAAAAGAAATATTGATTTGTTGTTCCACTTATTTATGCATTCAATTGGTTGATTCCTGTGTGCGCCCTGATCAAACCTGCAACTTTAGTGTAGTGGGAGGATGCTATAACCAAATGAGCTATCTGGCCAGGGCTTCTTGTACCTTCTTTCACTGTGTGTGTGTGTGTGTGTGTGTGTGTGTGTGTGTGTGTGTGTGTGTGTGTGTGTTTAATCCTCACCCGAGGCTATTTTTTCCCACTGATTTTTAGAGTGAGTGAAATGGGTGGGAGGAATGGGGGTGGGTAGGGGGGAAGAGAGAGAGAGGGAGGGAGGAAGGGAGGGAAGGAGGGAGGGAAGGAGAGAAACATTGATGTGGAAAGACACACATCTATTGGTTGCCTCCTGTTTGTGCCCTGACTTGGGCCAGGGATCAAACCTGCAACTGAGGTATGTGCCCTTGATTGGGAATCCAACTCAAGACCCTCCAGTAGGTGGGCCAATGCTATAGCCACTGAGTCAAACCGGCCAGGGCTCTACCTTTTAATAAATAGGGAACATTCACTCTCTTAGAGGTACCTCAGAGAAAATAAGAGTCCTGAATTAATAATCTACACCAGGCACCAATCTCATCCACAGCTGTCTCCTTTAAACTGGATATATTTTTTAAGAGGATTCTGAATTCTCTTCTAGGCCCTTCCCTTATTCACTGCTGTATCTCTAGCACTGGGAATAGTGCCTGCCATGTAATAAACACTGGCTGAATAAAAAGTGATGAAGTTAATGAATGTCCAAAGGCAGGTACTGAATGACAAACTTATGTCATACAAAGGTAATTAAAGGTCTGGCTACACCTGAGATGATTTACAGAATATGATAATTTTCTCCAAATATCAAAACTATGACAAGTGCTGTTAGAAAAACAATTAGACTTACTTTCTGTCACCTCATAGGGCTGCATTAGGACCAGGGGGCAGAGTTGCAAGGAAGCAGACCTCAGTTTTAAATAAGAACTTTCATAGCTTTACAAAGCAATCAGATTCTAGCTGCATGACCACCTGTCAGGAATGCTTCAAGGAAGATTCCTGTGTGGGGCAGGGGAATGGAAGACATGATTTCTGGGTTCTTTTCTTATCAAGAATCTATAAGTCAAAGGAATGGCTTGTCTGTTGACAAAACTCCCAGATAGTCTAATCCCTTACAGTCAGTCATATCCCATGATGCCGAGGAGAATACAGGCCATAAATGAGAAAGCTTTCAATTTGTGTGTCATTATCTACTGGCAGTGATAGTTTGGAAGGCTGTATTAGGAAGGTCTATTAAACCACTTTGGGGCTGAAACTGAGTGCAATAACTAATTAGCAATGGCCACCATGAGGGTGGGGGATGGTGGCAAAAGGGCAATTGTTGGCCATTCCTGATCCCCTGGCTTGGTGGCCTGCTTCCAAGTAGGTCAGTTTCCAAGCTTATCTCTGAAGCCTTGTGCAATGTACCATTGACATGGGTTAACATCTACTTAGTAGCAGAGTAATCTTGGGCAAGTCACTTAATAGGCCTATGCTTCAGCTTCTTCGGCCGAAAAGTAGTAATAGTGGTAGTAACTTCTATATTATGGAATTGTTGTAAAAGTTAAAATGAATGAATGTATGTCCAGTGTTCTTGTATTAGATGACATATCCTAAGTACTTGGTTAACATTTGCTCTTACTAAGATGTAGAGAGGGATGAGGGACTGTAGACACTGAGGGGAAGCCAGAAAAGGCAGTGTTGGGCAGACAGAGAAGAAAATTCCAGGCTGGAAAAAAATACTTTGCAAGAGACCACCATGGAGGGCGGAGGGTAAAGCAACAATAAGTTGCTCCAGGGGCTGGGGTGGGAGGCATCAAGGAGGCACCTAGGGGCACCTCTGTTCCTGGTGTGACAGAGGGGGGGGACGAGTTGGCCAGGGCAGTGCTTGGGCTCCCTCTCCTGACTCTTCCAACACTGACTCTCCATCCCCCGTTTATGAAGCCAGGCAGGCCCACGGCCCCTGCAGTGCTGCCATGGCCACTCACAATCAGATCAGCTCTTCACAATCAGATCACATGCCAGTCCGCAGAGGCAGGCTGCTGAGGGGAAGGAGGCACCCCCTCCTCCATAATTGCTGCCTTTCCTGCCCTGCCTGCCCTGTTCCCAGGCACAGCAGACCCTGAACCTGGGCCTTGCCTTCACCTTTATCTTCTCCACTCACAGGGATAATTTTCAGGGCTAATTAAGAATGATCTGCTAATT